CTCTGCTTAATCCAGATCGGATACTGTTTGTGGATGGTTCCAGATTTGCTGATGAACAAGGGCAATATCACACTGGATATGCAGTTACCACAGAATGTCAAATACCACAGGCAGCCGCACTTCCGCCAACCAAATCAGCTCAAGAAGCCGAACTGACAGCCCTCACAGTGGCCTGCAAGCTATCTGAAGGTCTATGTGTCAACATTTACACAGATTCAAGATAAGCCCTGGGAGTGGCACACGATTTTGGCCTGATTTGGAAAACCAGAGGATTTCTCACAGCCACCGGTACTCCGGTGAAACATGGGACAGCCATTGAAGGACTGATGGATGCCCTGATACTTCTAACAGAAGTGGCAGTGCTAAAAGTGAAAGCCAATGGGAGACTGAATTCAGAAGAAGCACGAGGCAACCACTTAGCTGATCAAGCCGCCAAGGAAGCAGCATGACAAGGGTGGAAAGTGGACAGAAGAGTGGCCACTGAAACAACACCCATCTACACCATGCAGACATTGCCTACAGATCTTAGACTTCTAAAGGAACAACAAGCTGCTGTCACCCCTCAAGAGAAACAAAGTTGGAAGAACAGAGGGGCTATTCTCCGAGATGATGTCTATACCATCAATCTTAAGTTCTGTCTACCCAAGAATATGTACCCAGCTGTTGTCCAATGGGCCCATGGGCCTGCCCACCTGTCAAAACATCTGATGAACTCTCTGATTGCTAAATACTTTGAAGCACCAGGTATCACTACTCTGACACAGAACTATTGTAGATCCTGTACAATTTGTGCTAAATGCAACCCTGGGAAGATTGTTAAAACTGCACCCAACCACTTGGCCAAACCACAGTACCCTTTCCAGAGGATACAGATTGACCACATCCAGATGCCAAAGAGTGAACGCTATGAATACGCACTAGTCATTGTGGATATGTTCTCAGGGTGGCCAGAAGCTTTCCCGGTGGCCAATCTTACCGCAAGGACTACAGCTAAACATCTTCTGACGGAAATTGTCTGCCGGTATGGAGTTCCAGAAGTGATTGAAAGTGACCAAGGAACCTCCTTCACCACCTCATTGACACGGGAAGTCTGGGCAGCACTGGGGGTGACCCTTGCCTTCCACACACCTTATCACCCACAGAATAGCGGTAAGGTAGAACGCATGAATGGCACGTTGAAAGCCAGAATGCTTAAAATGTCCCAGGAGACCAATATGCCCTGGCCCAAGAGTCTTCCCCTAGCACTGTTCAGCGTACGATATACCCCTAGAGGGAAGTTCAGCCTATCCCCCTACGAGATTCTGTTCAGTACAGTACCAAGGTTAGGTTGTTATTTTCCCCAACAGCTTCAGATCCAGTCAGATGCTATGGTAGACTATGTAACTGCTCTTTCTCATGCCTTAACCAAAATCCATGCCCAAGTATTTTCTTCTAGTCCAGATCCTGAGTTGAATACAGGTACTCACAAGTTGCTCCCTGGTGACTGGGTTATGGTCAAGAAATTCCTCAGGAAACATACTCTCGAACCAAGATTTGATGGTCCTTATCAAGTGTTACTAATCACAGCCACTTCAGTAAAGTTGGCTGGAAAGAGTTCCTGGATACACGCTTCGCATTGCAAGAAAGTGCCTACTCCAGAGGAAGCCACCCCCGCAGTATCATGAGCTTCCTGTGTTTTCTTTTGCTGCTAGGCCTGATAGAGGCCCAACAAGTTGCTATAACTAAAGACAACCATGTTTACACGTTCTGGTACAATTCCTCAAACACACATGTGGCCACATTTACTTTTGATTATTGTGATATTGTTTCTTGTACTTTCCCACAAACACAACACTCTGCTATATACAAAGACATACCCAACAAGAAAGACCCATACATTTGTGTAACTGGAGACCATTGGGGATATCATTGTAGTCCCTGGAAATCAGCCAGGTGAAATACTGGTAGACCTTGGTACTATAAGCCCCAATGTGCTTTAGACAGAGTTGACGGAAATGGGAAATCCTTGTTATATAGAATAACCCTGATTAAACCTGCAGGGTTAACCCCGATGAAGCTCACTTTAAATATAGAACATCCCAGCCCAGGAGATGCTGGAGAATATGTAATGGGTATGTACTGGAAGGGAGGTGGGTCACATAATCAATTGGGAACCTTCCATTTACAAGACATGCTCACCTCACCTGACTGGGTGAGTACTACCCACATGACTATCAACCCACTGAAGCTTCACATTAAGACTCTAAATGATATGGTTGCTATTGTTAACCCTACTTTTGAGGACACCATGACAGTGGAAACCGGGTTTTCAGACACTAACCTGTGGCTGGAATGGATGATATATAATGCTAATTCACATAATAAGACTAACTGTTATGTATGTGGCAGGGCTAGACCCCATCTGGGTACAGTGCCCCTCAATCTACCTCCTGATGTAGAGTTGTGTGTTCTAAGTTTCTATGCACAATCAACTACTAATTCATCAACATGTGAGTCATGGAAAAGGGTGCATTCCATCACCCAGGGAAACATTAAACCACCTGATGGAGTCACAGTATACCCAGGTAACTACACCTGTTACTCAGTGCCTAAAAACACTGGTAAGTTCATGGGCAAGTTCCCATCCGGCTATTGTTCTGCCTACCACAACCCACCCATGACGTTATTGGTAAATCATGTCAAAACAGTTGGGGACATATATTGGTTGTGTGGGGATAAACATTTAAGATCCCAATTATCCGGCCTGTGGTGGGGAGAATGCACTTTGACTAAAGCTATAATGCCCATCCATATTATCCCAGATGATTACCAAAGTCCATTTGACCCCATACGCACACATTCCAGAGCTAAAAGGGAAACCCCCATCCGTGGCAGCTTCGACCCACATGTTTACATAGATGCCATTGGGATTCCAAGGGGGGTACCCAATGAATTTAAGGCTAGAGATGAGGTAGCGGCCGGGTTTGAATCCTTGGTCCCATTAATTACTGCTAACAAGAATGTCAATTAAACATAGAAACATAGAAACATAGAATGTGACAGCAGATAAGAACCATTCGGCCCATCCAGTCTGCCCAATTTTCTAAATACTTTCATTAGTCCCTAGTCTTATCTTATAGTTAGGATAGCCTTATGCCTATCCATGCTTAAACTCCTTTACTGTGTTAACCTCTACCACTTCAGCGGGAAGGCTATTCCATGCATCCACTACCCTCTCAGTAAAGTAATACTTCCTGATATTATTTTTAAACCTTTGTCCCTCTAATTTAAGACTATGTCCTCTTGTTGTGGTAGTTTTTCTTCTTTTAAATAAAGTCTCCTCCTTTACTGTGTTGATTCCCTTTATATATTTAAATGTTTCTATCATATCTCCCCTGTTGGATTAATTATATCTACTATAACCAACAACGGTTTGTTAATTATACTAAAGATGCCCTACAGGGCTTGGCAGAACAACTGCAAGCTACCTCCCAAATGACATTCCAGAATAGAATGGTTCTGGATATGATCCTAGCGGAAAAGGGGGGCGTATGTAAAATACTCCCCGATACCATGACATGCTGCACCTTTATTCCAGATAATACTGGACCCAATGGTAAAGTAACCATGGCAATAGAGAAATTGGATAGTCTCTCCGATGAACTACAGAAGAATTCTGGGATCACTAATACATGGGATAGATGGTTTGGATGGATGAATGGATGGCAGAAAACTTTGTTCCAGATTGGGACCGCAGTCCTCACTGTATTAGTTCTCTTCCTCTTCTTGACTTGTTGTGTACTACCTTGCATACAGAAGTACCTACAAAAGATGGTAGGACAAACCATGGATAATATAACTCCTACATTCCTACACCAAGAACTTGATGACACAGAATGTGATACACCACACACCCCTACAGTCTCACCAATTTAAACAGACAACTGCATTCCTTTAGGGACAGCGTAGGGGTAGCATCTGTCTTTACGGGCAAAAGTCTGTTGTGGGAGATGTAGTGCATTAGCCACTGCGGGATACCCACGGAGTGAAGCGTTCGAAGCCTGTTCAGACAGATGTGCTGTTTAGCCTTTTATTATTTTTCTATAGGGAAAGCATAGGGACAGTCGTAGTTGTCTTTTAGTAAATAGCCATTTTAAGGGGGGACTGTTGTGGAAATAAGATATTAACCTAATTTTTTGTTAGTAAAATGCCTATTTACTCATTTAACTGAATCAGTGCATAAGCTATTAACACATATTTAGACAAAATGGCCACTAGAAGCTTCTAACCCCTCCCTCCCTATAACATCGACTAACTACCTCGTGTAACAAGATGGCGCTGGAATCTGGGGGAGACCCTCATAGTCTCAGTGACATCACCCTTAGTAGGCAGAGCATTAGGGAAACCACTTAACACCTAACCAATTATTGATGTATTATTTCATGTTATCTCTGACAATGCTTATGATGTAATTTTGCTTTAAAAGGGACCTGCCGTCCCCTCTGAATAAACTTTCCTCAAGTTTTTCATCAACCTGAAACCTGTGTCTGGTGTGAATTACTTCAGGGAGCATGCACGCATTGTTTCTTAATTTGGCCAGGGGCAGATACACAAAATAACCAATTTATTGATTGATTTCCTCTTCAATATATATATCTCATTGCCAATATTTACTGGTTCAAGTTAAAAGACTGTTACTTTCCAACAACAGGAAACACCTGCTCTGTCAAAACTATATTGAAGTCTAACAGACTGTACTACTTTCTGCTAATTAAGCATTTCTTATTTTAATTTATTTCTAAATGCTATATTCTTGTGAAGAAATACTGAAACAAGATTCTCATTATTTATGCATTGTTATTTCAAATCCTTATTGCTGCAGAAGTCTGCAAAAGTTAAATTACTTTATTTTGAGAAATTATATTGAGTTCCAAATAATTTTTCACCAAGAGTATTACAATGGCTCTGTAGTGGAGGGGACCAGGATTTATTGCCTGAATGTAAGCAGACAGAAGATCCACCAGTGGGGTGAGGAGCCGAAGCGTTAAGTGGTGTAGCCATAGCTTTTGGTGCCTGGGGACGTGATGACGTGAGACGCCGCACGTGCTTTAGGTGGGCGTGTCCGGAGGGAGGTTGAGGAGAGAGGACGCGGAGACGAGAGCAAGCAATGCCGCTCCGTGCCGTTTTGTGAGCGTGGTCCGGCTTGGTGAAGATCGAAGTGGACGAAGTGGAGGGAGGGCTCGGTGAGGATTCAGTGGGTCGGTGGACCCGGTTTGGAGTGGTGGTGTATGCCGGTTTTTGCTGGGGGTTTGTTGCCTCCGTTTGGACAAATAGTGGCGGTTCCCTCATAGACCGTTAAAAAGGTCAAGGAAGAAATAAAACCAGTTCCTGTATAAATTACTAAACAAAAAACGAAAAAAAAGAAGAAAAAAAAAAAAGAGAAATAAAGAAAGAAAGAATAAGAGAGAAATAAAGGGAAAAGGAGGAAAATACACCCCTCAGTGATCTCCCAAACAGCTTTATATAAAAACTGTGAGTACTTCTGTATTTACTAAAACATTACTGTAAGGCATCATACCTGTATATAATTACTGGCTTGGAAAAAAGAAAAGTGGAAGGAAATCTTTTTTTTCGTTGGAGGAGACTGGCATTAAGTATCTGATTATTTGATCAATTGATTTAATCTAATTCTTTAAGTTCAAAGTTAAAACTTCATATGTGATACCTAGCTATAATTTGCTACTGAGAAGCACTTAAGAAATAAAACAAAATGTCAACCAGGAAAACAACAGAAAAAAAGAAAGAAATTAAGTCAGTTCAACAAACAGAAAAGAGGTTGTCAGGTTTTTTTGCTACTCCTACTAAAGATCTGCAGGAACAGATAATTGATAGTAAGACACACCCAAGTAATACTTCCAATATTATCCAAGAAGTTCCACTTAACCAATTTCCATCAGAAGTTCAAGCAATTGCTTCAATCAATATCCAAGATCAATTTAAGCAAATGTTGGAATTACAATTAAATATATTGAAACAAGAAATGCTTGTAAGTTTCAATGAGATAAAACAAGAAATTAAAAATGTTGCAGTATCAGTGGTGGAAGTGGAAAAAAAATGTGAAGTGTTTGGAACTCAAATTAAAGTAATTAATACGGAGGTGCAGTTTCTAGTAAATAAAGTTGATAATCTTGAAAATAAAATAGCAACTTTGGAAGATAGATCAAGAAAAAGAAACATCAGAATAAGAGGTGTTTCTGAAGAAATCTCCAATGAAAAACTGAGAGAATATTTAAATAATTTATTTGAAGAAGTTTTACCAGAAATACCTACAGATGAACATAAAATAGAAAATTTTCACCGAATACATAAACCAGATACAACAGCCTCACATCTCCCAAGAGATGTAATAGTGAGTTTTTCCTCATTATCATTGAGAAATAATTTAATGAAAGCCAGCCGTATTAAACCCCGAATAAATTCTATTTACAAAGACATAATTTTTTTGCAAGACTTATCTTATCACACCAGGACTTGGAGGAAATCTTTCTCTATCGTGACGGATTTTTTAAGAAAAGCAGAGATCAGATTTCAATGGGCCTATCCAACATCTTTAAGATTTACTTGGAAACAAGAAAGAAAAATTTTTTTGGATGCAAATGAAGCAAATAGTTGGTTAACAGGTATCAATAAAAAAGCTTGAAGGGTCTGTTGCGGCGGAGAGGAAGATGGAAGGAAGAGAGAAGAGAGGAGAAGAGAGAGGAAGGAATGAAAAAAAAAAAAAACTAACTTTTTTTTTTTTTGTTGTTTTCACTCATATAGAATCACTTAATTGTGCTTTGCACAATTTGCTAATCTGTTGATGTTATTGGGGACTGTTTTCACTTTAAGGCTACTAGTCAATTGAGAATTAAGTATATGCACATAAGCATGTGGAACATAAGGATTTAAAAGCAAATATGTCTAAGTATTAGTATTAATTAGATTTGAACTTAACGAGGTGGTTAAAAGAAAATTATTCACATGTATTAGTAAGTTAAGTAGAAATAGATTTATTTAAAGTAAAGAATTACAGAGTAACTGATTTAAGTATAAAATAATGGAAGAAATTTTTTTTTTTTTTTTTGTTGTCCTCACTTATATAGAACTACTTAATTGCGCATTGCACAATTTGCTAATCTGTTGATGTTATTGGTGACTGTTCTCACTTTAAGGGTACTAAATAATTAGGTATATGCATGTAAGCATGTGGAACATAAGGACTTAAAAGTAAACATGTCTAAGTATTAATATTAATCAGATTTGTACTTAACGAGGTGGTTAAAAGAAAATTATTCACAGGTATTAGTAAGTTAAATAGAAATAGATTTATTTAAAGTAAAGAATCACAGAGCAATGAAGCTAAGTATAAAATAATGGAAGAAATTTTTTTTTATTTTTTTTTATGAATAATTAATAGGTTTATTGATGTAATTGTTGGTTGTTCTCACCTTAAGGGTACTAACTAATTATGTGGAAAAAAGTAGATAAAAGCAAATATGTTTAAGTATTAATCAGTTTCTAATTTAAAGAGGTGGCTAAAAGTAAATTATTCATATGTATTGGTAAGATAAGAAGATATAGATTCACTTAAGATACAGAATTGAAAGTTAATGGAGTTAAGTATAAAAGAGTTTTCTTTTTTTTTTTTTTTTTTTTTTTCTCTCCCTCTTGGAGAGGGATTGCAAATTTGTAAATATTACTACCTCTTTCTGGATACGCCCACTTAGTGTCTAATTTAAAGACACAGTAAAGACTGAATTTCTATATGAAAATTTACAGTCTTTGTGATAAAAAAGGAGGATTTCCTCCTATGATTTTAATATTTTGTTTTGTGTGTTTGTGCAGATATGTTTATGCAGCAATAGGGAAGGGTAACGGTTATCGAGTGGAAAGGGATGCAGGGAGGTTTTTGAAGATAATATGATAAAAATGTTTACACTTAATGTTCAGGGATTGAATACTATAGCGAAAAGAAATCTATTGTATAAATACCTCAGTGAAAAACAATTGAATTTAATATTCTTACAAGAAACTCACTGGAGACAAGTGGATAAACAAAATTGGGGGGGTAAAAGATTTCCACTTATAATTCAAGCTTCCAATAAGGAAAAAAAAATGTGGAGTAGCTGTGGTATTTGGAGAAAAGATTAAAGTTGAAGTAATCCATCAAATACAAGATACTAAAGGCAGGTATTTAATAATAATATGCAAAATTGACTCTGTACTTTTTACATTATGTAATATATATCTTCCTAATCATTTACCAGTTGCTTACTTAAAAACAATTTTGGAAAAAGTAGATGAAGTTAAAGTGGGAAAGTTAATATTGGCAGGGGATTTTAATGCTGTATTAGACCCTCAGATAGATAAAAAATTAATGAAAGGAAATACTTTAAATCAGATGGTTATAAAACAAGCAAAAGCCTTAAAAAAAATTAAAGATGAATATAATTTATTCGATATTTGGAGAATTTTTAATCCCAATGAGAGAGACTATACGCATTTTTCTAAAGTGCATTTTTCCTATTCAAGATTGGACATGATTTGGGTCGACCCAAGTATTATTGATATGACCAAAAAAACAAAGATTGACGAGATAGTTTGGACAGACCACAATGGAGTTTTTTGTGAAATGATTTTTAGTACATTTAAAAGAGAAGCCTATACTTGGCGGTTAAGAGATAATTTGCTTTGTTGTGAATTAAAAAAACTCATATAAGAGATAATATAAAAAATTATTTTAAAGAAAATATCTCAGAAAATATTGATTCATCTATTTTGTGGTGTGCCTTTAAGGCCGTTATAAGAGGTCATATTATCAAGTTACAAAGCCAACTTGACAAAAATAATACTCTAGCATTTTTACACACAAAATTAAGAGATTTGACTCACATCAATAAACAATCTCCATCTCCTGAAATTTATGAAAAAATATTAGAACTTAAAGAAAAAATAAAGCAAAAATTAATGGATACGATAGCTAAAAATATGGATAGATTAAAACTTAAATATTACTCCAAAGGCAATCGAGCTGAAAAGATGCTATCCCAAAAACTTAGAAAACAAAAAGGACAAAATAAGGTAGACAAAATAATACAGAATGGAAAAATAGCACTAACCCCTAGAGAGATTGGAAAGTGTTTTAATGAATATTATGCCAATCTATATAATATTCCTCAGATTAACACAGATGAGGATATTAAAAACTATTTAAATAATATAAAGAAGCCTCAATTAACTTCTATTGAAAATGATTTCTTAAATAAACATATAACTATGGAGGAGACTATGAAAGCAATAAATGATTTAGAAAGATCTAAAACACCAGGCCCGGATGGGTTTAGCAACCTATTTTATAAAACATTTAAAGATTTAATATGCCCACATTTGACCTCTGCTTTCAACATAGCGGCAAACAGAGGATTTTTACCAGCAGAGATGCTTAAAGCTAATATCTTGCCTATTCTAAAAAACGATAAAAACCCCACTGATATCAAAAACTATCGTCCGATATCTTTAATAGATGTTGACACTAAGTTATACGCTTCGGTTTTGGCTGCCAGAATAAAAAAACTCCTTCCACTAATCATCCACAAAGATCAAATAGGATATGTTCCAGGTAGAAATTCCTATACAAGTATAAGGAAAATTATTAATATCTTGGATGACGCAAATAGATATGATGTTCCAGTTCTGACTCTGTCGATTGATGCTGAAAAAGCATTCGACAGAGTCAGCTGGAAATATTTAGAAGCCGTCCTACAACATTATGGATTGGAAGGTTGGATTAAGAAAGCTATAATGGCACTATACGTAAATCCTGTTGCACGAACTATTGGACCTAATATTGTCGCCCCATGGTTCCAACTTAGAAATGGTACCCGACAGGGTTGTCCCCTTTCACCATTGCTCTACTTGCTGACTATCGAGCCATTGGCTGAGAATATTAGGAATAATAAAGAGATCCATGGTTATAAAATAATGGATGAGGACCAAAAAATTAGCTTATATGCTGATGACATTTTAATTACTCTTACAAACCCTAAAAATTCTTTAGAACGCATAATGCAAGAAATAGAGCGATACAGCTTTATATCAAATTATAAGTTAAATACAAATAAATCTTTGATATTAGATGTTAACCTAAATAAAAAGATACAACAAGAGATTAAAAACAAATATGATTTTATTTGGGTTAAAGAAAGTATGGATTACTTAGGAATTAAAATAACCAGAGAGACAAATAAGATCATGGAAGTAAA